GTGTGTGTGCGGGGGGGGGGGGGGCGTGCCCTTTTCATCCGTGGCAGTTCACAACGTGGACTGCCATATATACCAATGTGCTATCCACCACCAATAGAATGGTCTGCAGACCGAATCTGTCAATCTCAGCCTTGCTGGGAGCGCACAGGGCCTCAGCCTTGCTGGGAGCGCACAGCAAGGCTGAGATTGACAGATTTTGCGACTGCCACCAGCACCAAAAACTCACTTTGCAACATCTGAAGCGTACGTTCCGAGAAGGAAGAAGAGTACATATGCAAGTAAAGAAGTAATGAGAAAATCTAGTCATGGCTGCACAGCATCAGGCTGCCCGGCCACAGTCCCGACCTGGGGCCCGCTGCGCACCGCACGACATTATGTGACTGCACTGTGTCAACTGTGCAATTTGGTGCTGCCGCTATTATCATTTGAACCATACAGGGATTCCCATTGCCTTCGCCCACGCCCGCCCCCTATGCCGCTCGCTCCCCCGAACGCCCCGGGTCGCTCGCCGGGTGGGTTCGCGGCACCCACAAGCGTGCTTGTGCGTGAAAAGTGGAACATCCTTAGATGGCCGACGACATGGTGTAAATTGGGAGGGAATCCTGCAGTTGGAGGCTGACCCTGCATTGTTCCGCCCAAGCAGCAAAGCCTTGAAAAAGGCCACCCCCAGCTGCGAATTGTAAGCTTCTGCCACCAGATTTTGCCAATGCTTTGCCATAAGCCGGCTGGATAATATGAAGCAATTCAAAACTGGCTGTCCTCCAGAGCGGGCTTGACTCAATGCCAGCCAACACTCTTCGACCCACCTATTAGCTGGACAAGGCCACACTACCGCAAACATCAGCCCAGCTGGGTTTGCAGTCAGCCATGTGCGTGCTGGTTTGTTTGCACTTGGGCGCCAACATGCGCACATACGCATGTGAATTCACTAGTGGCGTGAGGTGGGGCTGGTTCCTGGATGTGTTCCGCAGGGTTTGTGCGGGTGTATAGGCATAATTTTATCATGCACAAACCCTCAGTGGGTGAGAGGATGACCAGAGGCAGCAGGTACGGTACAGCTTTGCTGGTGGTCAGGACACCTAGTGTATGCGTGCATATGCTGGTGGCAGTTTGTGATCAGGGATTTTTGAGGTCCGCCGGGCTGCAGTTCAGGGCAGCTGTGCTGGCATGCTTGTATGTGCTGCGTGGGGTGGGCAGGTACAAATGCATGTGCTCACACCCAAATAAGTGTGCTGGCATTATTATGTGGGAGTATGTGTGCATGTGTGAACTGTTAGTGCACGCCTGGCGGCCTGGGGTGCAGGCACTTGGCCCCCGACAATCGCCACATCCCTCTGCCTGCTGATTGTGCCAAAGCCAGTGTACGCAACATGTAATCATATGCAATGTCTGCATTGATAGCAGCATCCAATTTCAGCTTTGCAGGGCAGGGAGAAGGCACCAAGGCTGTTTCGTATGTGACTGATGAGGTAGCTTGTGGGCAGCTGAGGCGGGCAGCAACAGCAGCAGCGGCAGCGGCGGTGCACTGCCGATGCTGTACGGGGTGTCAGGTGGGCGCTCGCCGGCCATATTACGCGTCTACAATCGTCATTGTGGGGGGTCTGCCCATACGTCGGTGGTGTTTTCGCAAGGCGGGCGAGCAGCAAGCAGCGGGTGAGAAGCTGGCTCAACTCTCGTTCTGAACCCCTCAATTTAATGCGCCTTCGTCTACATGTATTACTTACCGACGTTACAAGCCTTCAGAATCACCTAACATCTCCATCTCGACGACTTTTTCTCTCGTCAACAACCATGGCGAAGGCTGCCAAGGCTGCCACCAAGGCCCCCAAGCCGAAGACGGCCAAGAAGCCCGTGGCTAAGAAGGTCACGCCCAAGAAGGCTGCGGCTGCCCCCAAGGTGACAGAGCGGCCAGGCCTGTCAGTATGGGCAGCAGGGGCCGCGTGGCTGGCCAGCGGTCACGCGGCTGGGCGCTGCCTAGGCTCAGGCAGACGGCGCAGACCGCAGCTGATAAGGCTGCGTGCAGGCACCCTCGTCCACTCCCTGCACCTGTTGACGAGCTGCAATATCACCCCATGCATCGCCCCGCCTGGCCCGCCAGGTGAAGAAGACGCCCACCAAGAAGGTGGCCACCCCGAAGGCCAAGGCCGCAGCGGCGCCTAAGGCCAAGACCCCCAAGAAGACCCCGACCAAGAAGACCCCTGCCAAGAAGGCCGCGCCGGCCAAGAAGAAGACCCCCGCCAAGAAGGCAACCCCCAAGTCGGCCGAGAAGAAGGCCTAAGGCCCCTGGCCGGCGGCAACAGCAGCAGTGTCACGCCCCCTTGCGGGGTGCTGCTGCCTTCACTCCTCCCAAAACGGTGGCTTTCGCCACCACCAACCCATGATATACTGTGTTTATTTCCTAACTTGTGCTTGGGGATGGTTCGGGCGGCTGTAGTGCGCAGCAAGGGGTTGTTGACTGTGATCAATAACCGACGCCCATGCGGTCGCCGCAGCTACAGCCAAACAGCTAGCAGCATTCGTCGTGCACAGGGTTCATGCAGGTCTGTGCTCAAGCATACTCGTGCAATTTGACTTCAATATGGTACGGGCATGCACCTGCCCTTTTGGGCCACCAGTCGAAGAGGTGGGTTCCTCATCCCCTGCCGCCGTGTTGTCCGTTGTTTGCTGCTTATAAGCCGTCGCGCACTGTTCATGATCGAGTGCCCATCAATACGGTCTGCACATGTATCGCTACTCTATACAAGGGTCAGCAGTGCGCTAGCCTTCCAAGAAAACCCATGCTGCCCTTGGATACCCACAAGCGGCCAGAACCTGCAGCAATCCTGCCCCAATGTTTCACCACACGCCAGCCTGCAAGGTTGAGCACACACCGCCACTTGTCCCAGCCGGCTGGGATACGCAAGCTTGCAGATTGTTGTGAGGGCTGCGATTGGGGCTGGATTGGGTGAGGCTGTGGAGAGCAAATTGCAGTGTGTGGAGAGCTGTGGCGGCGACTGGAGGACGAGATAGCGCCTCGATGTTGGCGTATGTTGCAGGAGATGCAGATCGAGGAGAAAGCTTACAAATTGCTTGACTTCGATTTTCTTGGTGGCTCGGTGCTTGCTGATATCGTTGCCCCTTATGTGTATGCTTGCTGGCAGATCTGTTGGAAGGTTAGGAGTAAGAAGGTCTGCTTTGATGAGCGCGGGGCCGCTGGCAGTGATACTATGGCATGAGTAACTTATCCATCTATCTATCTATCTATCTATCCATCTATCCATCTATCTATCTATCCATCTATCTATCTATCCATCTATCTATCTATCTATCTATCTATCTATCTATCTATCTATCTATCTATCTATCTATCTATCTATCTATCTATCTATCTATCTATCTATCTATCTATCTATCTATCTATCTATCTATCAAATGGTGTGCGCAGGCTTGTGCGCACGTGGAGTTCCTCACGTGCGCAATCAAAGGTGACGAGCAGCTGCAGATGGGACCCCAGCTGCCTGCCAAGTGCTGCTTCCCAAGCAGCACCCTGGCCTTGGGTGCGGCGTGTTAGCCGGCTGCTGCAGCAGCTACGCCTCAGGCGCCCCTGGATCCTAGCCATCGCGCTGATTTTCCAAACGTACAGTGCCGTCACAAGACGTTTGTGTGCTTGAAATGGTAATAAGTTAATTGGCAAGAACACAGCACATACCCTGCCCTCCCGTGACCTCACACCCGTTGTAGCCCGAACGAGCCTATGCAGTGGTAGCCAACTCAGCAAATGCGGAGCACCACAAGCTTCTGATTCGGTCGTGGTGGAGTGTCATCAGCTGAGTAGCAGCACTTTAATTGCCTTTCTGACACCTGCATGTACATTACTTGATATAGGTGTCCAACATACGACCCTGGGTTTTCCAGATGTTGCCATGCAATCCTTCGTTCAGTGCTTTTCAGAATTGTTGTCAATGCACAAGCGAGCTACGTACTGTAGCCCTGCCGTTCGTATCCACACAACCTTGAGCTTTGTCTCCAAACCCTGCTCCCCTTCTGGTCTGCTGCTGCCCTGGCCCATACCAACGCGCAATACCACAAGATTGGGAAGGTTGGGCCATTGGTCACTTGACAGGCTCGTACACCACCAAAGGTGTGTTTGTACAAGTGCGCCACCACATGACCAAATTCCAGGCTACATCTGCACGCACGGTGCAGCATCTGTGAGCTCAATATGGCTTTTGAACGTCGATGCAGTTTCCCATGTGCACAATCAATTTACCCCACGCGCACACCTGCAGCGTGCCGTGCGCAAACGCAAGCACTTCTCACTCCCTCTTTCTTCTGCACATGCATTCTTGCTTTCTTAAGTGAGCACACAAAGAAAAAAACACCACAGATTAATCATTTTGCTTTCTACGCACACGCAAACACACGCGGGCACACACACACACACACACCTGCTGATTCAATATGATACAGCCTATAGAGTCTGCCAAATACACACACGCACGCAATGACGTTCTCTTATGGTCATTTGTGCCCGCACACTCGCACACATATGTGCGCGCCCACATAACAAAGACGCACACATTTGCACGCATGCCTGCACACGCACGCGTGCACACATACGCGCACACACACACACACACACACACACACTTCACATGAGCCTCACACTGATTCAGGCAAACCCCATGAGCACACAAACGAAAAACACTCATATGTAATGCCACACTATACATGCCCCTGGGCGTCGGGGAATGCGGCGGCCACTTGTATGTCCATGGAGGCTAAGGATGCAGAGGCAGCAGGTGGGGGGGAGGCTCGTCAACATGGTGGAATGATTTGGCCACCCACAGCCCATCATGCTCAGCGCCCTGCAGAGTACGCTGTACATAGAGGTGATGGCAGCAAGATCCATGAGGTGCAGGGCAGAGCAGACAGCTGTGCAGGGCCAATGCTGCGGAGTCCTGCTGCCAGAGTCTGGCTGACCAGCGAGGAGCAGCGGCGGTGCACAAAGCAGGGACGCCCACGCTGCAGTTTGCAGGGCCCCACGCGCAGT